GTGTAATAAATGTGTGGATGATCAGATGGATGAATTAAATTATTTTTAATCCAACTATCTAATATAATGCTCAGCATTCAATAACTTTTAATGAATAAGTGGACAAACAAATAAGTTTGGAACCAGTGAGTTCTAAGGACTATCTGTTGTCCCTACCTAGACCAAAATGCAATATGGTCTCTTCACTTTCAGCTCCTAATGTTTCAAAAAATATTTAGATCATTTAACAAATTGTACAGCCTAAGCTACTCTTGCAATTTAACATACGTGTGTGTACAATAAACATATATAAATAAACATACATACATATCCCAACTGTTAGTGAGATTTACTTAAATAAACTTCAATGGGTATATAATAGCTATGAACTATTATGTTATAGTAGAATTCAGCGCTAAATATCAAAGTGATCCTTTGATTAACATTAAGAATATTTTAGATAGATAACCTATTTATCAAGCCATTGATGCAGTAACAGAAAGAAGCTCAAGCTACATCTAAGTGTTTATTAATCTAAGTACACTCTATAAATACTCAGTGAGTGCCTACCATGTTTCTGGCACTGTGCTAGATACTTGAAATACATCAGTGAACTAAACAAAAATACAACCCTATGACACCTACATTTTAGTGTTATAGTCTCAGAAAAATAGGCAATTTAAGATTAAAGTCACACCACTAAAGTAAAGTACTAGAGGAATAAAAGTAATTGACCACAAAAATAGAGAACACAAACTAAAAATTAAATTAAAGATGGAAACTTTCAATGAATGCTTCGAACCCATCCAGTGGATGACTCTCACAATTAGTGACTACTTTCACACTTTGCCATTTGGTTTCTCATCTATGATTTAATTTTACTGTACTCTGACTTTCTCCCCTGATCTGAATTTCAATGAGGGTATTAAATCAAACCTGTGGTTACCTTTGCATATTTTGTGACTTCAAACATTTAAATTATAATTTACTATTTGTCTAATTTTTAATTGTCTGGAACCAACAGTGTCCCTTTCATTTTTCTAGGTTTTCTCTAGTGAACTAACTTCATAACATACTTTTTGTGTTGTAATCTAACAGATCTGCAATATATGCTTTTTGTGCCTTGCTTTTAACATCTTAAAAATGGGATCTGTAAAATACCAAGGTCACAATGTTGTTATGAGAATTAAATAAGATCCTGTTATGTTGTTAAGTGCCCTTGAGTGGGTTCCAACTCATAACAACCCTGTATAAAGTTTCCAAAGAGGGACTGGTGAGTTTGAACCACCAATCTGGCAGTTCAAACTGAACTTGAGGTCCAGTGTTTATCCTACAGTGCCACACCAGGACTCCAAAATCTTTGAGGGAGCAGAAAGACTTATCTTTCTCCCTCAGAGCGGTTGGTGGGCTCAAACTGCAGACCTTGCAGTTGGCAGTCCAATGGATGGAGTTACACTAAAGACTAAAGAAAGTGCCAGACATATAGTGTGTGTAAGTACTATGTTCATCCCTTTTTCTATAGTTTTCTGCAACCCTATTTGCTTACTTCATTTATTTCACCATTTCTGATACTTTAGCATAGTAAATGGGGTATTATATCTTTTTCTTTCCTTTGTACAATTGGGAGGAAGCAGTGGATTTCAAATGAAAAATGAAACAAGCTATGTATCCAGCAGTACCATATAGAAATCCTGGTGTGGCATTGTAGACTATGCACAATGAAAAAGAATCAACTCAACAGCTCTTAGCAGCAAAAAGCCAAGGGCCATATGAAGGAGGTGTCTGTCTATAAATTGCTAATCTCAGGAGTAAATCCACCAAATGATGAAAACCAATACATGTGTCTATACGTAACTTTTTTTAAAATACCTTTTTTTTCTGATTACAAGAAAAAGGCTCATTGTAATAAAATTCAAACATTACAAAAACAAATAATTTAGAAACTGAAAAATCCTTTATCCACATGGTCACCCCATCCTTCAATCAGATAGACATAATTGACATTAAAAATATGCATATATTCTTGCAGATGTTTTTCTATTCATATACTCACATATAAGGAGCTCTGATAGCGTAGTGGTTACGAATCGGGCTGTGAACCTTAAGGTCAGCAGTTTGAAACTACCAGTGGCTCCATGGGAGAAAGATGAGGCTTTCTGCTCCCGTACAGATTTACAGCCTCAGAAACCCTGTACAGGGTCTCTATGGGTCAGAACTGACTCAACAGCACTTAACAACAACAACATACTCACATATAGCTTTATTAAAATAAGATTACATTTTACCCACTATTTTGTAACTTGTTTTTTGGGGATTTTTCCCCCATTAAAATGTCTTCAGAGTCTGTGCCAACACAGCTAGTTCTTTCTTATTTCCAACAGTATTGAGAGTAACTCAAGAATTCATTTTTGACTCTTTCAGTACTTACCCACAAATGCACCTCATGTGCAGATTTGATTAGAAAATGCCCTTCAGCTGATCACTGCCATCAATGGACTTTTTCTTTCCAAACAGTGACTCAAAGAGACACCAAGACAGTAACTTGAAAGTTCTTCTCAGTCCCTACAAAGATACGTAACAAGGAACCAGAACTTTCCCAGTGCAGGGAGAATTGAGATGAATGGTGAATACACATTTATACAATAGTATCACAGATACATTATAAATACAACACATTCAGGAAGTTTCTCCACCTTGGTGTATTTCTATACACCAATAATGTACAGCATACTTAGAGCAGGAAGGAAATTTTATTTTAAAATGTTAAGGTCAAGCTCACTTAAGTTCAAATTTCCATAGAAGGCTATTTATTCCCCTTCACGTCTCCCACCTCAAAGTCTACTTTCCCCTTTATTAAAAAAAATAATAATAATTTCTATGCTTTCATTAGTTACTCTTTTCTTTTTTATCTTACATTGCAAGCCAGATGTCAATATGTCAAACATTAAATATCAATCCTCATGCAATGAAGGGAGTATATAATTACATACATTGTTGTAACAAATGTAATATGATTTAATTTGTGCAGTGAACTTAATTGACTGACCAGATATAAAGAGTACCCTATACAGGACTTCTGGTGTGGCAGTCTAGGATAAGCACTGGACTGCTAATAACAAGGCCAGTGGTTCAAACCCACCAACTGCTCCTTGGAAACCTTATACAGGGTAGATTTGAGTCAGAACCTACTCAACAGCACTTACCAACAACAAGTACACACAATAGAATATTATTCAATCACAAAAAGAAATCATGTTCTGGTAAATGCTACAGCATAAATGAACCTTGAAAATGTGATACTTATAAGTCAAACACAAAAAGACAGATATTATACAATCCCATTTATATGAAACAGAAAAGGCAATGCATGGAAACCCGACAATCAGGGTCAAGTGGAGGCCTAAGGTACACACTGAACCACAAGGTAGATTTGAATCTCAAGGTCTGCAATTCAAACTCACCTGTTGTTCCTCCAAACCACTATTTAGGGTCACTATGAATAAGAACAAACCCAATGGTACTCAACAACAAGGTCAGGTGGGAAGGAGCCTTGGTAGCATAGTGGGTTATATGTCAGACTACTAACCACAAGGTCAGCAGTTTGAATTCACCAGCCACTTTGTGGAAGAAAGATGAAGCTTTCTGCTCTGTAACCCGATCTTTGCTAAAGATAATACAAAACGACTGCAAACACATATTGACAGAGAACTTCCGCCAGATTCAGAAGAAGGCGTAAAATGAGGGATATCATTGCTGATGTCAGATGGATATTGGCTGAAAGCAGAGAATACCAGAAAAATGGAGAAAAGGTTGAAGTTGTCAAAGACTTCATTTTGCTTGAATCAACCATCAACACTCATGGAAGCAGCAGTCAAGAAATTAAATGATGTATTACATTAGGCAAATCAGTTGCTCAAGACCTCATTAAAGTGTTCAAAAGCAAAGATATCAGTTTGAGGACAAAGGTGCACCTAATCCAAGCCATGGTGAAAGTTTGGACAGTGAATAAGGAGGACTGTAGAAGAATTGATGCATTTGAGTTATGGAGAAGAACATTAAAAGTACCATGGACTGCCTAAAGAACAAACCAATCTGTATTGGAAGAAGTGCAGCCAGAAAACTCCTTGGAAGCCAGGATGGCCAGACTTCGTCTCTCATACTTCGGACATATTGTCAGGAGGGACCCGTCCCTGGAGAAGAATATCATGTCTGGTACAGTGGAGGGTCTGAGAAAAACAGAAAGAACCCAATGAGAAAGACTGGCACTGTGGCTGTAACAATGGGTTCATACATAGCAACGATTGTGAGGTGGGCACAGGACACAGCAATGCTTCATTCTGTTGTGCATAGGGTCACTATGAGTCGTTACCCACTCGATGGCACCTACCAACAACAACAACCCTATACAGGGTTACTGTTGGCTGGAACCAACTCGATGGCATGCAGCAGCCAGGTCAGGTGGGAGGGGAAGATAGGAAGTCACTGTTTAAGAGGTACTGAGTTTCTGTTAATGATGCTGACATTTTTGGAAAATGAATAGTGGTGAAAATTGCACAACACAGTAAACATAATTAGAATAAATAAATTATATGCATAGAAGTAGTTGAGATGGCTTATGTTATTTATTTTTACCAATGAATTTTTTTAAAAAGAAAAGAACAATAAAACACACAGTCAAGGAGTCAGAACTAAGATGATAGATACTATTGGTCAGGTTCTCCTTTTCACTCTTCTATGGACAGAAAACTCAAGTAGCATTTTACAGTGCTGGGGTTCAGGTTCTGTTAATTTTGTGTGAAGTGTGTGACGCTATAGGATGAACACTGGACTGCTAAAGGCAAGATCAAGGTTCAAACCCACCAGCTGCTACTCAGAAACCCTATGCAGAGTTGCTATGAGTCGGAACAGACTAGACAACACTTAACAACACAATGAATCAAAGGGAACTTTCTGACACATTGTTTTGAGAAATAAAAATGTCTAGTCATGCTACTTATACAGTTTCAACCTGTTTCTTTCAGATACCATTGTTCTTATTGCTTCAATCGCAGTCGTGTCTGCGAAAACTCAGGGTAATATTTTTGCCACATCTGCACTCCGAAGTCTCCGTTTCCTGCAGATCCTCCGTATGGTGCGCATGGACCGAAGGGGAGGCACTTGGAAATTACTGGGTTCAGTGGTTTATGCACACAGCAAGGTAAGATTTGCTTTCTGAAATCTAGAATAAGCTCTTTAAAGTTTTTCATGGATTGCTGCAATGCTTAATAAACGCATCATAAACAAACTTAGTCATGTCAGAAATTAGTCAAAGTAATTTAGAAACATGATGTGTATTGGATTATTCAAAATTCATCATAATTGCCCAAAAAGTAGAAAAATGAATGGAATCATGCATATTTTTTCTTTTTTCAAAAATATTCCGTCTCTAATACTTCATTCTTATTATATCTAGGAATTAATCACAGCTTGGTACATTGGATTTTTGGTTCTGATTTTTTCATCTTTCCTTGTCTATCTGGTGGAAAAAGATGCCAATAAAGAGTTTTCTACATACGCAGATGCTCTCTGGTGGGGCACGGTAAGTATTGAGATCTGGTTTTTACACTGGATATTATGAAATGTTTCCTTTGATACAACTTAATGGTTGCTTTTAGTGATCTCAATAAAAATGCTAACATTAGAGTAGCAACTTTATGTAAGGCATAAAAAGGAATAATAATTAAAAAAGAAAATCACAGCATAAAAAATGGAAAAAAGAGAACTGATAATAATGTGAGATCAGCGATTATAACCTCGTTTTGTTATTGTTGAAATGCTTTATGGGACTTTACTTTATATTAAATGTATGCATTCATACCCAAATGTATTCAAGAAATTTTTTAAGTTTTGTACCTAACACACAGAAAGTGCATATCTTGTCATAAGTGTAAACATTGGCACGAAAGAAGAAACAACCTCATTTTCAAGCTTTCCACTCAAACCCTGCTTTTTTTTTATACTGTTGTTAATACTTTTCAAAAAATGATAAAATCATGATTTACATATAAAATTAACACATGCTAAGGATCTTATTTAACTCCTATTTTTTAAAATTAAGTCATTATTAATGAGGTAACCAGTAAGATGTTACAACCAGTTCAAAGGACTAGCCAAAGAACAGATACATTTAAAGACCAGGAATATGAATGTGCAAGGAAAAACAAAACTGGACTTTCCCAGTGTTCGAAAGAAGTCAGTGGAACGTCAGCAGACAGAATTTATTTACATGTCTATAGACAAGAATTATTTTGTACAGCTACTAGTTATCTACAATTTACAGAGTTGTAAAACAGCTCAGAGGCCATGAAAGGCACAGAGTCCCATAAAATCTGAATCAGATAACTAGAGAAGGGTGTGCTGTATACAAGGCAGAGTTTTCCATGGAAGCACATTGTAAAGAATGTTAATATTGCAAAGAATTTATAAAGCATTGCAACATGTGCCCCAATAAGAATGTCATTAGATAAGGAAGGTTTCGTAAAATGTGCAAACTGTATTTCTTTTTATATTATGCCTTTAAGGCATTCCAAAGGGGAGGTGTGTGAATATATTCAGAATTTATAGTTTTCTAAAGATTTCCCACACTGCTTTGCTCCAACAAAATTTTCTCTTATAGATCATTAGTAGTTATTTCTTGAGTATTAGATCATTGCCAAAATAAAATTATATGTTTTTCTAAAACTGTCATTGAAACCTTGGTAGGTTTTTAAAAATTTTTTTATCTTTAGAAGGACCTCTAATGGGTGTCGAGGTTAAAGTGCTCAACTGCTAACTGAAAAGTCAACAGTTCAAACCCAATAGCCATTCTGTGGGAGAAGGATGTGGCAGTCTGCCTTATGGGGTAGTTCTACTCTGCTTATAGGGTCGCTAGGAGTTGGAATCAACTTGATGGCAGTGGATTTGCTTTGGGTTTGGTCTGAAATTAACTATGTTATTGGAAAATGGCATCGTGGTTGAAAAAGTAAAGGGTCAGTTAAAAAGAGGAAAATCCTCAACAAGGTAGACTGACACAGTGTCTGTAACAATGGGCTCAGACATAACAACCAATGTGAAGATAGTGCAAGACCTGGCAGTGTTTCTTTCTGTTGTACTTAGGGTTGCTGTGAGTCAGAACCAACTCAATGGCACCTAACAGCAACAACTGGAAGGGGAGGAGAAGAGAAACTGCAGCATAAACCGGTATCCATGGTAGCATAGTGGTTACAAATCAGACTGTGTATGAACCACAAGTTCAACAGTTCCAACCTACCAGCTGTTCCATAAAAGAAAGATGAGGCTTTCTGCTCTCGTAAAGATTTACAGCCTTGGAAGCCCTGTACAGGGTTTCTATGAGTCGGAACCGACTCCACGGCACATAACCACCACCACCATTTTATAATCTGAGCATCTGAGCATAGCATCTGTCAGACCTTAAAAAAAAAAAAGATCACAAAAGCTTGGACCAGAATTTACATTTGTTTTGCAGTATTATTCCTGAGGAAAAAGTCTTGATTGCTAAGCTAAGTCTTGGTGTGGTGCTGCGGGATAAAGCACTGGACCGAAAGGTCACTTTTAACTACAAAGGTCGGTGGTTCAGATTCACCAGCCACTCCTTGAAAACCCTATACAGAGTCACTATGAGTCAGAACCGACTTAACGGTACTTAGCAACAGCAGGAGCAAGTACTCCAAGGAATGTTTACTCCACCTAGGACTTTGCTAGCACAATTACACCTCTATGCCAATGTTTGTAGCCCATCGATTTTCAGAAAATGTATTTCTCACCTTGGGCTGGTATTGACTGCAATTGAGCATATGGAATCTGAGGGCAAAAATTTATCTGAGCTGCTTCCATCTGCCAACCACCAAATAATTCCTAAGGTAGATGGGGGTGGGCAACAAGGTGAAGTAAGCCATACTCACTCAGATCCTCACTCTTCTTGTCAAGCTACAAGCCGAGAATCATCTGCCAGCTTCATCTCAGTGTAGAAATAAATGGCACACTCTCAATTAAAGTATTCATGTGCGTCAAACTGCAATAAAGAGATTTTGGAAATTTTTTGGAAGCTGTAAATGAAAACTAGCCCCATGATATTGTAAATGCCATATTCAAAAGTCAAGCATTAAAGTGCTTAAATAGACGTTTCTCCAAAGAAGATATACAAATGGACAATAAACACATAAAAAGATGCTCAAGTTAGTTAGTCAGTAGGGAAATGCAAATCAAAACCACACTAAGCTGCCACCTAACACCCACTAGGATGACTATTATCAAAAAAAAAGGGGGAAACAACAACTGTCAGTTAAGATGTGGAAAAGCTGAAACCCTTGTGCTTTGCTAGTGGGATTGTAAAATGACTCACATAGATATGCATCAGTGTTTATTGCAGCGTTCTCCACAATAGAGACTTTTCTCACATTTCCTTTTCACTGACTGCCCTGATTAGCCAGTGCTTCCCAAACCTTCTGTGACCGGCTGAGGCCTGTGGCACACCGAATGTACTTTAATATACACAATTTTGCTCTCATCAGTTGTTTGAATGCTTTCAAAGAGTCATGTGCTTCTTTCCAAACTCTCTTTATACTGGCTATAATTTGTGATTATAGAAATAACTATTATGCAAGTTTGTTAAATAAGGTACAGAAAAAAAAGATGAGATTTTCATGAAAACTGAAGAGATTGCTTTAGAAAAAAAATCTCAAAAATCTAGGATCCTGTACTCACATGGCATCATCACAGATATTAAGTTCATGTTCCCCTAAAATTATGAATAATAGTTGGTTCAGTAAAATGAGGTTCATACAGAAAGACAAGGAAGAACTCCAAGTGAGGAATACATTTTTCATAAAGAATATTGAGTAACGAATGTGCATTCATATATTTAAATTAAAGTAAAATGTTATATATATGTTTGTTTTGTGATTTTTTTTGTTTGTTTATCTACACTAATCAAATGTCTGATTAAGCAGCAAGTTATCACAGGAGCTTCATGTAAGATGATTTATCTGTATATTCTTATGCATTGACATATAATATCAGAAATCATCCCACCTACAAAAAAAATAGGACTCTCCCATTAAAAAGCTAATTTTACACTGATTCAGCAGTTGCATGGTTTGGCTCATTTCCTTAAAACACATTGACTATACAAAAGAGCTCTTAGGGTGCAATGGTTAAACACTCAGCTGGATACGGAAAGGTTAACAGTTCAAATCCACCAGTGACTCTACAAGAGAAAGGACCTGACAATCTAATCCTATAGAGATTATAGTCCAGGAAATGCTATGGAGCCATGAACTCTGTAAAAATAGGAACAGTGTGAGTTGGAGTCAACGCTACGACACAAAACAACATACAGAGTAAGTGTCAGATGTATTGTGTACCCATGCTATACATGTGTATTAGAGGAGAATTAACTGCTTTGATTCAGGAATGATCAAAATTATATTACTAAGGGGAGCACAGTGGCTCTGTAGGATGAGCACTGGACTTTAAATCTGAAGGCAACGAGTTCAATCCCACCAGACTCTCCACAGGGAAAAGATGAGGATTTCTGCTTCCACAAAGATTTATGGCCTTGGTAACCCTATACAGATTTGCTATGAGCCACAACCAACTTGATAGCACTTAACAATAACAGCGTATTAGTATGAGAACTCATTAACCTTCATTCTTTCTGCTGTTCTGAACCCACCACCCCATCACCCTTATCCACATCCAGCCTATATATAGTCATGAGCATCATTAGGTGAACCAAGTCAGTGAGTTGGATTCCAGCATCTTTATCTACTGAGCTTAGCCCTTGCACCCTAATGCTATGTATGCATATAGGTGGTGGTGGTGGTGGTTGTGTGCCATGGAGTTGGTTCCAACTCATAGTGACCCTATATAGGGTATCTGAGGCTGTAAATCTTTATGGGAGCAGAGAAATTCATACATATAGAAGTGGTAAGAATCACGAAACATGGGGAAGGAAGAGGCATCTTCAAAGGACAAAGTATATTATTTGCTTAATAATAATGCAGTATTCGTTTACTATTGTAATGATCCCTTATTATGAGATTTTATATTTTTTCAGAATCAACTCTGGCTCTCTAGGCTCATGCCAGCGCACATCACAGTGTTAACTGTGTATGGTAATTTATGATCACCACCTGCCCTGCTGATTGGCTGTCATTGAGGCACTCGGTATAGGGGCAGCTGCCACTTCTCATTTCAGCTCTAGTGGTGATGTGCTCCCCAGAGGTCTCCAGGAAAAATTAGATCTTCTGACAAGCATTTCTTGCACTCCCTGTTGTTCAGTAGATAGGAGCCCAGTTCCTAATCTAACTTACATCACTCTGAAGGCAATATTGATGTGAAGCAATTTAATAGCATGCATGAGTGAGTCATCTTGCCATACCATCAGGATGTCTTAGAGTTCTGTGAATATTTTTTTTTCCAGAAAAATGTACCACCTGCCTTATCAGTCAGTCCAACCACATAGTCCAGGTATGATTTTCTACAACTTTCCTTTAGATCCCCTTTACAATCTTGCAAGGTTTCTGAAACAAAGTCTTATTCCAAACGTTTCCCAGGAGTTCCTCAGGGAGTAGGTATCATTAGGGTGCCTTTCTCTGACTCTGGACCCAAATGAAACTTACCATGACTGGGTTCAGCCACTGAAAGATTCACAACATGTCTAGACAGTGAGAAGGAGTTCATTATTTAGCACACTAGTGGGTGAATAAACACCAAGAGAGCTCCTATAACACAGTTCACGTGCAGAGGATCAGCTGATGAACACTAGCAGGAACTTCCAAGTCTTCCAAGGAAAAGAAAAGAAACATATCCTTCTTGTACTTTTCCAAGGAGAATCATTGGTACATCAAGTACAACTTGACCCAAAAATCTAGAAAATCAGTGAATATCCATGGTGTGCTCATCTAAGGCAAGGCCATCTCCGGATTTTATTACCTTAGAAACTCAGCAGCTCCATCAAACAAATAGGACAGTTTGAATTCCTGGAAAAGTCTCACATCTGTTTATCGTAAGTGCCTCTTAGAAACTTAATAGTTTTGTCATTTCTTCTGCCTCTCTTGTTCACATCATGGAACCCAGTTATTTCCTTTGTGATAACTTTGGTGTAAAAAGTGAAATGATTTACAGTCTGGGAATGAAACCAAAAGAAATCCCCCACCAACTCCCTCCCAGGAATGCAGAGAGAGAAAACCAGGAATTAGATCTACAGGAAGATAGGAACCTCTAGCAACCCTCTCCCAGGCATGAAGACAAAATTATTACCATTTTGCCAGGTTCTTTTCAGGTCTCACCAAGCAACACAAAGCCCTCAGAATTCAAGCAAACAACTTCCCAAACTCCTTTGTAACTGGAACAGAGATTGGGGTTTAGCTGCTGGTCAGTGAGGTTTCCTACACTCAGCAAAATGTGTTCATTTCAGAAGCCTGAAGTAGAGAACAGAGAGGGAAGTAGTCTTTGCCCTCCTGGAAGGACTCTCAAGGTGTTGCTCCCAGAATTCACAACACGCGACTCCCCTCCACAAGCCCCTGTAAGGGGCAGGGGCAACTCTAAATTCAGATAGTATGAAAGCCAGCGTGCTTTTCTACTCAGGGTAAAACACTGAGCATGTCATTATCTTTCTGTGTCCCGTTCTTCAGAATAAGAGACAGTGGTTTAAAACCCAGTCTCTGAGTACTGGGCCAAGTGGCAAAACTCAAATGCCATTTTTAGAAGGTAAAAAAGACCATGAAATATAACATGTTTTGCTATGACTAAACCATGAAATTTTACCTTCCAGTTTACTGTTATTAATTTTTTTTTTAATCCCATTACTATTGAGTTGATTCTGACTAATGACAGCACATGAGTTGTGGATTAGAACTGCTCCATAGAAATTTCCTGGCATAGTCTTTACAGAGGTGTCCTGGTGTGGAGCTATAGGGTAAACACTGGACCGCAAGGTTCTGCTCAACTTCCCTCCCTCTGACCTTGAAGAGCCTTATCCATCCACTTGGCCTTTTGTTGACTTCTACTAGACATTCTCTCACATCTTCACAACTGCAAATCTTTTCACCTATACCAAGCTTCTCACTCTCCAGGGATTGTCCCACTTTCTCTTCTGTTGGAACTGAAGGTGACTGACATGAGCGTTCCCAGCCTTCCCCTCTGCCTTAAATCTTACTGCAACAGTGGAAAAGGTAGCCTTTCAAGGTTAACCCTTCGCTGTACCTTGGATCCTATTGCTTCTTCCTCCTTGGGCACCTTACCCCATCAATTGAAGCCACTAATCCTTGCTCTTTAGTTTCACCCTCTCTTGCAAACATGTGCAAATACAAGAGGTCTTCAAAAAGTTTATGGAAAATTGAATTGAAAGATAATCCAATTTTTCCAGTAACTTTTTGAAACCTCTTAGTACATCCTAGAAGTGCTCTCTTCAGTCCAGTGATTTCCAGGAATTCCTGCCCTATATTTCATCACTCTGATACCAACCTTTTTGAAATGATTTATTTACTAATATATTTATTGAATTCCCTCCATTATAGCAAGCATCTTGCTAGATGTTACGGAGATCACAAGAGTAAGACATGGTTCCTCCTTCAAGTAAAAGGAAACAGGGATACCCTACTGCTACCCCAGGAAAAAAGATAGCAAAATACTATTAAGAAACTAAGTTCTGGGGGGAAAAGACAGAAAGAAGGACTGAAATAGAGAGTGACCAAAGGTCTCACTATAGGAAAGACCTCTGAGAGGATATTTTGGATAAGACCTGAAAGCCATAAAGGAGGCCTGGGAGAACTTGAGGAGAAGGAAATCCTGGCAGATGGAACAAGATGTGTAAAGGCCCTCAGAACAGGGAAGAGCTTGGCTTAGTTGAGGAAGTAAAAAGCCACTGGGTTCAAATACAACTGTTGTTGTTGTTGCTGTAGTTGTTAAGTGCCATCAAGTTGGTTCCGACCCATAGCGACCCTGTATAAGGTTTCCAAAGAGCGGCTGGTGAACTTGAACCACTGTCCTTGTAATTCAAATGACTTTGCAGTCTGATGCATTAGCCCACAGCGCCACACCAGGACTTCAAGATGATCTTAGAGTGAGAGACAGAGACTACATCATACAGGCCATCTTTAGCTTAGAGTTCATTATGAATCCAATGAGTAGTCATTAAAGGAGTCTTAGAGGGGAATAAGAAATTGACACCCCTTTGTGGTGGGTGGAGGGGGAACTGCAGGGAAGTCCGAGTAAATTATGTGACTGCAAAAGTATCCTGAGTGAACAAGAAAACTGACTTGGTCAAACCCTAAACCCATGGTGTTATCATTTCTGTATCACTGATGGTTATCCACATACTTAAATAACCTTCTTTGAGTACACTTAGAAAAGATGGAAACTTGTGTTATAGGAGAGGTACAAGTATGTAGGTTATTCCCTTCCTTAAACAAAGAGAAGTTCTGACCTGCGTCATGGAAAATTAAAGCACAGTAATAAAATGCGCCAACAAGACGTGTTGAATAATGATTTAGTGGAAATGTTGCTTTGCCTCCTGTTCATAAGTCCTAACTTTCCTCTCAAGTACTTAAGTTATACGTTCTATTTATTTTGTTTTTAGATTACATTAACAACGATTGGCTATGGAGACAAAACTCCCCTCACTTGGCTGGGAAGATTGCTTTCTGCAGGCTTTGCACTCCTTGGCATATCTTTCTTTGCACTTCCTGCTGTGAGTATCTTTGCAAAAATAAAACAGTTTGAACTAACTCTTTGAGGTTTATTAGCGTGAACTCTCCATGAGCTGATATGCCTGTGAATGTATCTATGTCACTTACAGATATAAGTTTTCTGGTATAATATTGATTTTTTTTAACTACTAAATCTAGTTTAATCATTTATAATGTAGTCTACCCTTGGAGACACTGGACCCGAGCATTTAATATCAACTAGGTGTTTATGACCAAATCATCACCCAACAGCATCACATCTCAGTCAGCATGCTACAAATCCACTGAAAATATTTGTAAAGTTTCAAAGACAATTTCTTTTTATGGTGATAGATCCAATTTGGCTTATAGTGTGTGTTACTAAAGAGATGAGTGGAGGATTTACCATTTTTGGTGCATTTAAGGGAGAACATATGATTTTAAAGTGTTTTAGGAGTGTCAGATGATTTATTCTCTGTGTCATCATCACTGATTTTCCTCAATGAACAATTTCTGCATCTTATCAGAATGGCGTGCATATTTTTCTTCCCCCAAGCACTATAAGATAAGCACTGGACCACAAGGTTGGCTTGAACCACAAGGTTAGTGGTTCAAATCCACCAGCCACTCCTTGGAAACCCTATACAGGGTTACTATGAATCGGAACTGATTCCACAGCACTTAATAATAAACAATAACAAGCTTCTAATTATTTTCCCCTTAAAAGAAGAAGCTTGCCTTTCTGATAATTTTATCCTCTTATTTCTCTAAAGGCAGTTGGTCAAATATTCCAATTTATCCCAACCTCACACTCTCACTTTTGTCCACTCCTCCCTCCAGGGAAGAGTGAGTTATCAAAAAGGAGTGTCAAGATGGTGGGGGCCAGCGTACATAAGGGAAATAGATCCCCCTCTTGTACCAGACACCAGCTGGTGCTATGGCACAACCTCCACCAAACAAAGGCCCCAAAGCACCCTCCAGAAAGAAGCCAACAGAGTAGAGATTTTCAGAACCTCTAGGTCCCAGAGCTTCTCCTCCCCCCTGTTAAGAAGTGCAGAGGACATTGTTGCCTTTCCCATAGCCAGCAACCAACTCTAGGTTGACCAGTTGGTTCTGCCCAAACCAAACCAAATCAGTACCATCAAGTTGGTTCTGAATTACAAATGACACTATGTATATCCATGTAGGATTTTCAATGGGTGACTTTTTAGAAGTAGGTTTTTCTTCCAACGTACCTCTGGGTAGACTTAAACCACCAAGCTTTTGGTTAATAGCCAAGCATGTTCACCATTTGCAATACCCAAGGACTACTGGTTCTGCCCTGCCCACCTTCTCACAGCCCTTGAGTTGATTCCAACTCATGCAACCTTATGGTGGTGGTGATGGTTATGTGCTGTGGAGTCAGTTCCGACTCATAGCGACCCTGTACAGGGTTTCCAAGGCTATAAATCTTTATGGGAGCAGAAAGCCTCATCTTTCTCCTATGGAACAGCTGGTAGTTTTGAACTGCTGACCTTGAGATTCGCAGCCCAATGCGTAACCACTATGCTACCAGAGCTCCTTAGGACACAGAAAAACTGCTCTGTAGGGCTTCCAGGACTGTAAATCTTTATGAGAGCAGACAGCCTCATCTTTCTACTACAGAATGGCTGATCATGACCTTGCAATTAGCAGCCCAATGCTTAATCCATTGCACCACCAAAGCTGTTTTGCCCGGAACCATACAAACTCACAGAAAGAACACTAGAAGGACTATGCATATTAAGCCTGACCATTAGATCTCAGTTTGAATTTTGTCTGTGTCCCATAGTCCCTCTATAACTTTGGGTATATTTCTTCATGAGTAAAATGAAAACATTTTGTGAAGACCAATGTGGAAATGTAAGTCAAGTGCTTGTCATGAAGAAAACTTTTAATCAATGTGGCTTCCCTTTACCTAGCTGAATCTGGAAATATGTGTTTCCTATTGCAAAAATGACAAAACCAAGGAGAGGAATAAAAGCTCCTCACTTATCCAGTCAGCTCATCTAACAATCTTAGCAATCCAGACCAGAGTACAGACTCACAATAATCAGATTCCCTTCAGTAAAATATCTTTAAAACCAATAAAATGTAGTCTCAGACACAAAGTACCTGCTGCATTTGTGTTTATGTTTATCCAGATACCATCTATACAATTGACAGGATGGCACTGGGTTTGGATTTCAGTGACCTAGAGAAAGACAAAGGTCAGGAAATTGTCCATTTCTGAGCCCTTAAAATAGACAACTGTGTAGATGCTGACCTCATCAAAGAACCTCCTGAGACCTTATTCATAGTCTATTCTTAATTTAGGAACAATTCTGATAAGCATGGTTATAGAGTTTCACAGTTCTTCAAAGATTAGAAACAACAGATATATGGTTGACTGATGGAGCAAATACTGCAAACGGAGTAGAAGAGGTGATGAGAGACTAACAGTGAGTGTGGGTGGGGCAGGGAAGAAAAACTTTATAAAGGAAACAGAAATTTAGCATGAGCGTAAGCCCACATCTATATATATAAGTGTAGCTGAATCCATCATGGTAAAATGTCCAGCACCCATGATGAAACTCCAGGCCATCATGAAGAGGTTAAGTTGTATCTGTATGTTGGGATACATGTCAGAGACTTGATTATCAGTCCTGGCTAGAGTACCCACCAAGTGATTACATTTTTCAAAAATATGTGAGTTAAATTAACACACATTGGAAATCTGAAAAACCTGCTTTCCCAGAACAGAATAATGCCAAGAAAAGTAGCCTTTAACATGGATCTTTGTTGTTTATTGGATAAAAGACTAAATGGTTCATACATATCTTTTATGAAAAAAGAAAACTGAAACTGTTATCCTGTGTGTGCATCCTAGCAACCAAGAGTGTCGTCTAGTTGAGAGTTGAGAGAGTATGGTGGGCATTCTATTAAGAAGTTGAAAGTGGGTTGTGTATCATTTCTATTTGGTTTTCCTTCCATCAGAAAACCTGAGGACAAAGGAAAAGATTCCCATCCTCATTTTTCCCACAAAGCAGGACTCTTCTTGATGGCTCAGAGTCATATAGACCACCTTTCCCCTCAAGGAGATTCACGTTTCCTGAGGCCCCAACTCTTCTGCATCACCTAGAGGACACTCCCTGCTAGAGCTAAGACTGTCTTTCAGCAATGCCTGTTGTCCATGTGTGGGGTTCAAACTAGGTCATTTAATCTACAAGATAACAGAAGGGTGACTATTTAGAGCATTTATCAAAACATGTTCTGTTTCATTGGTATTTATTCAGAACTGCTCAGTGGTGCCCTAAACTTAAAACCTAACAACCAAAGTCTTACTATCTTAGAATATGAATGAAAACAAAACTCAGTTTCTAAGAATTGTCATCTATTGATATTGAACCTATGAAGGGATAGCACCTATGCTTAAATATTAAGATAACTAGATAGATGATAGATAGATAGATAGATAGATAGATAGATAGATAGATAGATAGATATTATATGTGCATCATAATAGACAGTATTTTAACAGACTTCTATTGAGGTGCACTGACCTGTGTTAAGAACTGGGGAAGAAAACTGGATCACAGCCCTAATGAGATGATGAGCAGACCTGCTTTAATAACTCCTGTAATGTACAGTCTGGCGCGAGCAATATGTAGCAAACATGTGCCTTCTACTAATATATGTTTCTGAGCAATGCCAGTGTGATTTTCAGCACATTTTCATTTGGTTAGCAGATGCTAGATTTGTGCTATGTAAGCCTTGTGTTCCTTTTCCAAAAGGGATTTATTTAACTTTGAACCTCATATCCACAAAAAATAAGTGCTCAAAAATGATAGCTTTTGCTGTTAATTCAATGTCTGCAAAATCTGAATTATGCTCCATGTGAGAAGATGTATATGCATATGTGTAATGTATTATAAATATAGCATATAAGTTCTGATACTTCATGTTCCCTTACCATGTTTATACTTCATGAAAAATGACATTCAAAGGAAAAAGTCATTTTTCCAAAATGATCTTACATAACAAGAAAAAAAATTGGGGGTATGCATGAGTAGAGTCGATCTTGATTTGAAAATTCAACCTCCAAGTGGAGGAAAATGTTATTTAAATCTGAAAGCAAGATCACAAAGACCAGTTTTTTTATAACTTACTTTATGCATTCACAACTTGCATAGGATAGAGATTTTAGAAAGCATAAGATGATCACAGAAAAAGAAATGGAAAACGAAACCTATGACATAATTTGTAATATCAAGGCAGCTATTTATTCTAATTAATAATGGAGCAGATCATTGTTCATTAATAGCAAATAGTATTAATATATAATTATGTATTTTAAATAAGATTGCATTACTTACTGTCTGCTTATTGTCACAGATACACTCAGAATTGTAAACTCTCAAAAGAAGGTTAAAGGTCTCCTAGATCCCAAATATATCTCAGCAGAGTTGTCATCCAGCCAAGTCTTAACTCTTCACACATGAGAAACCCTCCCAAGGCAACCTATACTATCATTAAACTGCATTTTTAAAATAATAAGAAAAAAGAAAAGCAACCATGCTTTACCCTTGGCAAATAATGCATTCATGCTTACAAGGCACACATCTCTAACCTAAAGGTTAGACTCATTGAAGTTTACAATAAACTAATAATTTATAGCTAACAAGAAAATCCATGGTCTGGAAAGCTGTGGAACTCCAAACCCCACATCAATAAAGCAGAAAGTTAGAGACAAAGTGCAGAGATTGAATTTAGCAAGCCTCGCAAGCCGACCCAAAGCTGAGACAAAGTGTCTTGGTTTCTCAAATGTTATACCAAATTAGACTAAAATGACAGCGGAATATCACGGAATTAGCATTTTGACCGATCAAGATGATAAGCAAAAAGAATGCAAACCAGCAAATAAACAGCTTTAAACATGGGGCGAGGGAGGTGAGAATGACAAACATACCTATCTTTCTGTCAGTAGGTGCTGTTGAGTCAGTTCTGACTCTATAGGGTTTCCAAGAAGGTGGGTTTGAACTGCCAACCTTGTATTTAGAAGTCCAATGCTCATCCTATGGCCCTATACCAGAACTCCATAGTCATCTTGTTGTTCTTCTTGTTGGGCAAGTGCTGTTGAACCAGTTCCAAGTCATAACTACCCTACGTAGGATTTCAGGCCTTTAAATCTCTGCAGGAACAGAAAGTCTCATCTTTCTTCCATGATACTAATTATTAACTCCAAAAGTTGATTATTTCTACTGTTGTGCGTGCCATTGCATTGGTTCCTACCCATAGTGACCTTATATAGGGTATTCCAAGCCATAAATCTTTAAGGGAACACGGAACCTCTCTTTGTCCTGTCTAGTAGCTGGTGGATTCAAACTGCTGACCTTGTGGTTAGCGGCCCAACGCGTAACCCACTATGCTATTGGAGATCTTTAAAATCTGAATTGTTGTTGTTGCTAAGTGCTGTCAAGTCCATCTGTACTCATAGCGACCCTGAACTGGGTTTCCAAGCAGCAGCTGGTGAATTTGAACCACTGACCTTACAGTTCAAACCAACCCTGCAGTCTAGTGCATTATCCAACTAAAAAAGAATGCTAAACAATGTGAAAGTAAAACTGAGGACAATAAGAAAGTGCTTTGCAACAACCTATACTCATTACTGTACAAATAAGCAAAATAGAAAACCTTCTACATCTTCAAAACTGAGTATCTATCTCATCTGAATAAGTGTCCTACCAGCTCCCACTTTTTAAATTTGGGTATAAAATTATAGCATCATTGAGGATTACAGCTGGGACAGATTTTAAACACTCCTCCCTCCATTTAATTAATGAAAATATAAAACTTCATCATTTCATCAAAATGGTAGAAATACTACCATATACACAGCAGATTTACATCCACTATCTCAACTTCAAGTTCTTGGGTAGTGAATGATTTTCGCTTGATGCCTTTCAGTTATGGTGTTGGAGGAGAATATTGAAAGTGCCATGAGCTGCCCATAGAACCAACAGATCTGTGTTGGACGACGTGCAGCCAGAGTGCTCCTAGGAGGCAAAGATGGCCAAACTTTGTCTCTCATACTTTGGACATATTGTCAGGAGGGACCAGTCACTGGAGAAGGATATCATGTTTGGTAAGGTGGAGGATCAAAAAAAAAGAGGAAGACCCCCAGTGAGATGGATTGGCAAAGTGGCAGCATCAGTGGGCTCAAGCATGGCAACAATTGTGAGGTTGGCTCAGGACTGGGCAGTGTTTGGTTCTGTTGTGCATAGGGTCACCATGAGTCAGTACTGACTCGATGGCACCTAACAACAACAACTAACCTGAAGGATGGCAGATCAAACTCACTCAGTGATACTGTGAAGAAAGGTCTGGCACTTTATTTTCATTAATATTACAGTCAAGAAAATCCCACGTAACAGTTGTTTTCTGTAACATATGAGATTGTCAAGAAGTGAGTTTACAACAGATTTGTTTTTTGTGGGGTTTTTTCCTGGACCATAAGGTCAGTTTGAACCGCAAGGTCAGCAGTTTGAACACACCAGCTACTCCTTGTAAATCCTATACAGGGTCGCTATGAGTCAGAACTGACTCTATAGCACTTAACACCAAGAACAGCAATCCCAAATTTAAGATCTAGCCATGTCCAAAGCCAGAATTCATAGCATCCTGATTCCATCATTAAATAAAATCATTCACTCTGACTCAAACATAAAGAAATGCCATGGGAAAGCCACACACACACAAATTCATATTGTGATTTTTATTAATAATTTGGTACCTCTTAATATACAAGAAAGGCAATAAATGACAAAGCTTAGCTGATTTACTAAGAAATTGTTAGGGTTTTGACAGTACTGTCCAACAACTTGCCATTAGCCAATGGCATTATAATGATGAACAGTGTTTGCTTTGTGGATAGATCATACAATGTTATTTAACAGTGCTTTTGGAAAAAAAAAATTCTAAGTACTATTTTTATATTTTCTTCCAGGGCATTCTTGGTTCAGGTTTTGCATTAAAAGTACAAGAACAGCACCGTCAGAAACATTTTGAGAAAAGAAGGAACCCGGCTGCCAATCTCATTCAGGTAAATATCAATATAATAGGTAGATGGCAACATCTGTCTCCATAAGTGCTTGTTTGGGTCTATTCCAGTCTCTGTGCTTCATTGCTTAGTAGAGCAACTGTTTTTTAAAAATTGAAATCACTACTCAATGCACAGTCTTGGACAAGTGTTCCTGCTCCCACTACTATCAAAAAATATATATTGTTTTAGCAAATAGCACATGCTTTATTCAGATTAATTAAGAGTGCTCACAAGGCCATGCAAAAGTTAACAGTTGTATGGCTTCTGGAAGGACCTAATCTGTCTTACAAATTACTTAGTGAAACATAATTGATCATTAAGTGATGGAGCAGAACATGGCATTGTTCCCTGCATTTAATTACTTTCTTTAGCCAGATGTATGTCACTGCTTTGAAGAACAACTTATTTGTTTAGAATGCCAAGATGTAGTACCTGTAGAATTGCTTTTAATGCCATTCAGGCAATAACTTAAAATAGTGAACCTATTTTAATAGCTCATAGGACTATAGACTACCTCAGTGTTTGAGAATATGAAATAGTAAGCATGTTGGTTGAGGCTCGATTACAATCTATACGTTTTGTTTGGCATTTAAATTTCCTTTCAATAACTTAGAGTTGGCTTCCTCACTAAAAGGAATGATTCCTCTTTTGCCATCTATACTTTTATTCAGGAGCATACTAGATCTAGGTTGTTTAAGATTTGCAAATTATATTTTTCTCTAAATCCATAATGTGCAGTCAATTTCTAGTTAGGGCCAAGATGATTATACAATCTCAACTTCTCCTGGTCCTGCCAGATAGTAAAAGCTCCAGAACATCTAAACAAGAGAGGTTTAGGTGGCCATGTGAAGTGCTTGGAGACTTGTCTTAAAGCTGATTGTAGCAAGCACACTGTTTTAATTTAGATTGCAGGGTTTATGGAAGGTTTGAAGGGGATGACCACCCCATAGCCCTATCTTTAGACTTACCCTATGGTTGTGATATACAGTCCCTACACTAGAAACAGTTAAAGAAAGAAAACAGATAGGGGAAAGGATTTAGTTATATCATGAAGGAGATGTGTTTCCATCTATTCTGCAAATGTTAACAAGGAAATGGGCCCTTGGGCATAACTGAAGTCCCTATTTAAACTTCCCGTTTTTAAAAGAACACTAAAAGTAAATTAAACTCTGTTTCTCAAAGGAAAACATCCCTAAGTAGTAGGTCTTTAAGATCTGAAGCCAAACAGTCATTGGCATAATGAAAGGAGGAAAGCGTGTCTCCCAAATGCCCCAAATTCAAAACTCATAACCTTTCTTACTTTGGAGCGTATTAACTGGTCATGAGGTGTTTCCGTAATTCCAATGCATTTTTCTTCTTACTACTCTTATTCTTTAATTTCCTTTCACTCTAGAACAGCGCTTCCCAACTTGTGAGTGCAGAAGCTATTTCCTGGGCTCTTTGCCTGGGTAAGGACAGCAAGTCCTATCTATACATGAAACCAATGATGCATCTTATACATATCTAGACTTCTTGCTTTCAAAAAGACTGGAGATACTGTTATAATTAATATAGTTCAAGTTTATCTTAAATCCCTGCACAATAGCTTTTATATTGTGTCTTTTCTCAGCTGAAACATACTCAAAATATAACCACTTCTGTGTACAGATCCTAGATACTTCTGAACCTTAAAAGAGAAATTCATATAAAATAAAACAGGTTATAGTGTCAGCTATTGAGCCCTTTCAGGAATTTCTTGTGTGTCAGTAGCTATCTAAATCCAAAATTAATGGAAATAAAATGAAAAATTTAGTTCCTCAATGTCACTAACCACATTTCAAATGTTCAGTAGTCACATGTGACTAGTGGCTACCTTATTGTCAAGACATATATAGAGAGAATAAATTAGGAAGAAGTTTCCTGATCTAACATGTTATTCTTGATTACTTAATTATACAAAAACAAGTTCCAATTGAACTTAAAAATAAATTTCTATTCCCACATTAAAACATTGGAGCAAAGGCGTTTATATATCTACAGACAAAGTAAGGCCAGGCTTCTCTCACAGGTAAACCATGAAAGGTGGATAAGAGATTAATTGAGCTGCTTTCTGGTACTGAGTTACATAGCTTATATTATTTCAGTGATCAATAAATGAAATTGTGCAAATGTAGGTAAGGTAACAAGGAAGCTAATTTGTGAATTTTTCTTTTACTTAAAACTCTAATTTCTGTGTTCTGAATAAACAGAATTATGGAATCCAAGACGAAAAATTCAAGAATGCCTTAAAGTTGAATCACAGTTTCATTAATAAAAGTAGAATCTATTGATTTTTAAAATAACAATTGCTTCTCTATTCAAGTATAATTCATGTATTTATTAGATATAGAGATAATAATATAATTATTAAATTTATTTATTGTTCTTCCTTTCTATAGCTGTTAGCCAGAATTCAGGCCTTCAAGTCTAAATTTTATATTGTACAAATTTCTTTTTAAGGATGTACTAAATTAAAAAGCAAGCCTTATTTGCTGATCTATTCACTTTCTTACCTGCTTTTTTGGCTATGCTGAACATACAGATAGATCATCATGACAAAAAACAATCTCATTTGTTTTAAGCCAGAGCCAGTCTTTCTAAAAGAGCAAGTGAGATGTCCAAGTTACTTCATCATTTGGTTGGTGAGACAATTACATTAACCAACATTTTAGGGGTTTAGGGAAAAGTTTAAAAACACAGCAGCTTGTAGCAAATTTAGCTGTGTCAATATCTTTGCATGATTCACTTAAATTAACTTTTCATTTTCAACTAGAGCAGTCTGGGAAAAGAAAGCATCTCTCTGTAACATTTTGAATAGCTGCCCAAATGTCACAGCTTTTATTAATAATGCCTCAGACTTGAGAAGTGCTATTTAGTTTGCAAAGTACTTCTAATACATTATGGCATTTGATCCTCAGGACAACCCTAAAAAACAAACAAACAAAACCACTGCCTTGAATTTTCTGCCACTGCTAGTGTGACCCTATAGGACAGAATAGAACTGCCCTATAGCGTTTCCAAGACTATACATGCTTATGAAAACAGACTGCCACATCTCTCTCTGCAGAGTGGCTGGTAAGTTCAAAATGCCAACCTTTTGGTTAGTAGCCAGTGCTGTAACTAGTGCACCACCAAGGTTCCCTATTATTGTTGTTGCTATTAAGTGCCATCGAGTTGGTTTCAACTCCTAACAACCTAGTTGTCAGTAAGCACTTGGTGAATTTGAACTGCCGACTTTGTTGTTACCAGGCCAGTCCGATAGTACCACACCAGGATTTCCCAGAGCTCCTTGTTGTTGTTAAGTACCGTGAAGTCTGTTCCAACTCCTAGCGACCCTGTATAGGGTTTCCAAGGAGTAGCTGGTGGGTCTGAACTGCTGACCTTGTGGGTTCAAAGTCCAGTGCTGATCCTACAGCACCACACCAGAGTCTTTAGGAGGATTGTATTACTCTTATCATGAGGAAATCAAGTCCCAGAAAAATTACTGATTTGATTTTATGCAACTAAAATGTGATAGAGCTAGGACTCAAATCTTGTATCTGAGTCTGAAACTGTTACTCCTCTCAATAAGTTGTATTCTCCTATACACAGCACACAGTCTTCCAAATCAGTATTTAAAAGTCCAAGCCAAAGGTATATTTCTGGGTAAGTTGGGCTAGTTGAAGGTGGAGGCAAGACAATTTACTGAAAACCGTAACAGGGAATTAAGTGTAAAGTTTGTGAAGTGAATGCTAACAGAAAGGCAGTTCCTTAAAGGAAGAAATTAGAAGCTGCTGCTCTGAGGAAACTAACTGTTCAAAATATATGTTGAAATTTTGGGTTTCACTTTGAAATAACTTAGTTTTCTTTCACCAAGTTACCCAAAAGTGAGAATGCCAATTGGTAAGTCCAAACTGCTTTTCTAGTGTTTCACTCATAAATAAGAATCAGGAGGTAGGGAACATGAGATATCCTAGATGTAAAACACTTAACAACAATAAAATAAATAAATAAACTAGGAAGGGGAATAAAGTTGTAAAAAAATTTTTAAAAAATCTCTCAGAAAGCAAGAATAAATTTTAAATAATAGAAAAAAAAAGATAAGAAAATTGTAAGATCCTTCTAGGAGATCCAGTTCATAGGAGTACATCAGAAAAGTACAGGAAAACTGAGGATAGAACTTGATCAAAAAATATATATCACAAATATATATTACATTACAAATATCTCAAATTGAAGGACAGGTGTGGCCACTGCGAAAGGGCCCAGCACTATGAACAAAATCTTCACACCAAGAATATCAAAGTAAAGTATAGGAACGTCTGGAAAAAAAGGAAAAAAAGGGAGTGGATCTTAAATACTTTCTGTAAAACTGAGCAGCTCGTATCCAAAGAATTAGGAATCAAGACTACATTTGGCACTGAACTGATAACCACAAGGTTGGCAGTTCAAACTCACCAGCTGCTCCTTTGAAACCCTATACAGGGTCACTGTGAGTCAGAGCCAACTCGACAGCATTTAACAACGACCCTAAAATTCAAAGATAAGAGAGCAATGCTTTCAAAATTCTGGAGGAAATTATCGCCAACCCAGAATTCTGTATCTAGCCAAAGTAATCGTCAAGTGTGAATAGCATCAAGACACATGTAAGATCTCAAAGAACTTACTATTTACCCATGCTCACAAAGTTGTTGTTGGAGTTACACAAGCCAACCTTGTGGTTCAAACTGACCTTACGGTCCAGCGCTTTAACCCGCAGTGCCACACCAGGACTTGTGTAGAATTGCTCTTCTAAAATCAGGGAGTAAATCAAGAAAGAGAGGCATATTGTCTAGGAAACAAGAGATTCCCCATAGGAAAAAAAGTAAAGGGAATACTTAGGATGGTAAAGGAAATTCCAGGACTAAAGGTGTAGCAAACTCCAGGTCGCAGAGTGAACAGGAAATGAGAGCTCCAGGTGGAAGGTCTTCAAAGAAACTAAATGGAATTGACAAAATTCATTA